TCTGGTGGACAATGGAGTTTGGGAGCCCGCACCCAGCACACGGATGACACTGAGGCCAAGTGAAGGCAATTAAATAACGTTTATTTCATTAGAGAACAAAATCAGCAGCATCGCAGCCTGAGCCCTAACCCATCCCAGCCCCTCAGCCCCCACACTTCTGCCTAATGTCGATAATGGGGGCTGCGGGATCTGGACCTTGAGCGCCTGGAAAGAAAAAGGGAGGGGCCCATGAGGGCTAGGCAGAGCAGGGGAGCCCCGTGCATGTGTGTACATGTATACACACGCACCAACATACTTGGGGATCACTTGGGCTTCAGTGGCTGCAAAGGAGGGAGGCAGCCCTACAACTGGAGGGTGCAGGGTGGAAATGGATGAATCCAACCCAGCCAGACCTCCCGCACAGGACATCTGTGATTTCCCAGGGAGCTGGTCTGGCTTACTCACCTTCGGGAAGAGCTGTACTCTCGACCTAGAAAGGAAGGAGGAGGTGAGGACAAAGCAAATGCCCAGGGCCAGGAACGGGCCCCAGGGCTGGACTTCTGGTCTCACCTTCCGCTGATGCTGCACCAGCATGTCCACTGCTGGGACTACAACCTGTGCCGCCCACCCACACCAATGTGCATTTCTTCCCATCCTGCAATTCCCTTGTGGCTGAAGCAACACTGTGCATGCCTGCCTGTGTGCATGCACACACGCATCTTAAGAGTTTTAACATGTGGAAATGTGGTTTTTTATAATCAGTTTTGACATCACTTCTCTTTTTAAAAAAAATATATTTTTATTGATTTCAGAGAGGAAGGAAAAGGGAGAGATAGAAACATCAATGATGACAGAGAATCATTGACTGGCTGCCCCTGCTTGCCGCCCACTGAGGCTCAAGCCCGCAATCCAGGCATGTGCCCTGACCTGGAATCAAACTGTGACCTCCTGGTTCATAGGTTGACGTTCAACCACTGAGCCATCCGGGTCAGACCACTTCTTTTTGTTTGTTTTTGTTAATCCTCATCTGAGGATATTTTTCCATTGATTTTTAGGGAGAGTGGAAGAGAAAGGGAAAGACCAAGAGAAGCATCGATGTAAGAGAAACACATCAACTGGTTGCCTCCTGCATGAGCCCTGACCAGGGCCGGCTAAGGAGGAGCCTGCAACGTGCCTGTGACCGTGCCCGTGCCCGGAATCGAACCCGGGGCCCTTTTGGTCCACAGGCTCTATCCACTGAGACAATCTGCTTCTCTTTTTTTTTTTTTTTTAATATATTTTATTGATTTTTTACAGAGAGGAAGGGAGAGAGATAGAGAGTTAGAAACATCGATCAGCTGCTTCCTGCACACTCCCCACTGGGGATGTGCCCGCAACCCAGGTACATGCCCTTGACCAGAATCGAACCTGGGACCTTTCAGTCCGCAGGCCGACACTCTATCCACTGAGCCAAACCGGTTTCGGCTGCTTCTCTTTTTTAATGCCCCGAGCCTGCAGCCCAGATCTCCCGGCCCAGTGACCATGGTACACTCACTGTAACGGGGGGAAGGCGAGCGGCTCTGTCGGCTGTACTGGCGTTCCCATTCTTCTCTCTCCTTCTCTCGGCGTTCCCGTTCCCTGCAGGGGGGAGGGGAGGCAACCCAGGGAGGGGTGAGTATGCTGCCCAGAACACTGAACTTAGGGCAAGTGCTTCATATCCTAGTCCCAGTGGAAGAGCAACCATCCCCTCTTGGAAAATGAGGACACAGAGCTCAGAGGGGATGCTTGCTAGGCAGAGCCTGGACTCCCATCCTAGTCAGCCTTGCTATGAAAGGCTCGCTGAACAAACAGAAAGGAGGGCCGCCTAGTTCAATCATGTCCTGTCCCACTCCACGCAGTCACAGAGCACAGGGACTTACATGCTAAATGCTTAACTGGTTTTCAACAGAATGACTGGGATTTGCAATCCTAAGGGCAACATTTACTGGGATACCTTCTCCTGGCTGAGGTGGAACAACTATTCCCTCCCTATTTAAGTAGCTGAGCAAATTAAGACTCAAACAAGAGAAAGGCCCATAGCTGGTGGATGAGGTAGGATCAGAACCCAGGTCTAACGGATGAAGCTGAGTCCTTCGGCATTCTGCCTCCTAACGGAAGCACACAGCATCCTCGAAAACCCAACACACAAGGGGTGTGTAATAGTGATGTTAATGATGAAGACTAACTGCAGTGGGATTGGGCATCGGGCCTTCCTATGTGCCAGGCACCACACTGGGAGCCTCAGAGTAGGACCCTGCCAAGGCACCAAGGCACGGGCATTAGTACGTCTGTCTCACAGAGGAAGGAGTCCTGGCTCAGAGGGGTCAAGTTACTTGTCCAAGGACCACAGCAAATACAGAGTGGAACCAGAACTACTGATAGCAACAAGGTCCTGCCACTGACTGATGTCCCTCCTTGCTAATACGGAACACTATGGCCTCTAGTG